ATTACTATAGAATTAATATCAGGGTCAGAATTTGAGTGCTACAATGGAAGGGAAGGAAGAAAAGGAAACCGCCGCGCACACCTGTTAAGTCTTTTATAAACTTTCTCGTCCTGACGGTTTCAAAGAAGGGCGTCGTGGCTGCTATTTAATTTACAGTGTCTGTTGCGGTGTCGAATTAATCTTACCCAGCAACTGAAACGTGCCACGCCTGCTGAAACTGAGATTGCTTGTAGGATGAACGGCTATAGTTTGGTATATTCACGAGCGCGTTTTGTCAAGTGGACTGAGTGCGTAGTTTTTCTTAACGAAGGGATGGGGAATGGGTCAAGTGAGTAGTTCGGGGAACGTTTGCTCTCTTTAGCGGGGGGGGGGAGGGGTATTTGTTGATATCAGGGTTCTGGCCTGGATAGAGTCGTTGTAAACTATTTTTGCTTCTGGTATCGGTTTACCGGACGCTGAGCAAGGAAAAGTCAATGGTGCATTTATGGAATAATAATAATGATTCTCATGGTCTAACAGTGCGAAGATTAGACTTCTGGTAAGGTGGCAACGATCAAGGCCGTACTATAATTCATGATAATTGAAGGTCATAATGTGGAAAAAGCGACTGAAATGATGGATGCCATGCAATCCTCTCGGGTGCGGGCGGCGTACCTGGCCTTAACGGTTGCCCCTGCGACAGAAGGCAAGCATGCCCAGATTGTCCACGGGTTGCTAAATGAGACCGTCCTTTCTTAGTACCCGTTCCTGTCTTATAATTAGACCCGGGCAAATTTCTCGATATTGCACCATCATTTTGGGCTTAAAGCTTCCAAAGTCAAACAATAATAGCGCATGTTCGCGACGGTTTTTTAAGTCAGTCAAGTTCTTAAATCAGGCCTTAAACGGCCAGTTTTAATGTCGATATCAGTTAAAAGGCATACAAGCCTCATGCAAAAAAGACAGTGGGAAGGAAGTGCACATCGGTGATGGGGGAAAAAGGGTAGCCCACAGTTATTTAGGGGTGGATCTTTCGAAACATTCTTACACTCTTGGAGAGATATGCATTGTTTAAAGTTTTAGACAAACCAGGTGTAAATTTATAGTAACAAACTGTTAAATATACATCAGCAAGATTTTTGCGAATCCTATTTTTCGCTGGAGACTATCGTTTACTGGCTGGTCACGCAATCAAAGGTAACGTACTTTCCCACGTTTGTTTACTCACCTTTCGCTCAGCAATACACTGCGTTCCACAAAGGATTCAAATTGCGCTAGAAATGTTTTGCTATTCGGGCCACTTTTTTTATCTCAGGTAAGGCACTGCAAAGCTGATTCACTTACGAAGATTCGAGGGAGAATTATTGCTTGATGTTATTCTGATTTCGCAGTCACGGGAAAACAGATCTAGACTCAGGTCCACTCGCAGACGCCATGCTGCAATCTACAAGATCTCAAGAACAGAAATTACCCATTGAACGGCCTCTCCTTTTGAAGATTGCGTGTATTTCATTAACACAGGTACATATTAAAGAATCTTTTAGTTTCTCCCTTTTAACGAGCTCAAATCGATGCATAAAACTAAGGTGACGTGCACGTGTCAATTGACCCTGGGGTCAATTAGCGGTTGTTTGGGGCAAAATAACCTCAAAATAATCAATCTATTTTACAAGCGTTCGCAAGAACACCAGACTAACTTTCAGATAATGTTGAAGTACTATATCTCATTGGGTAGTAAGCGGGTTTGGGGTGATTTGGAGAATTCCCCATATAGAAAATTCGATTTTGGTTTTAGCGGTAAATTGTTGTATTTATAAGCATTATGCAAATTACGTTTCAAAATTCTGCTGGTTCGTCGATATTTTATTCTCTAAATCTAAAAAATGTGCCGTTCAGAAATTGTTAGATATCTGCTTTTTGAGATTTAAGTGGAAGATTGCCAATATATTTGCTCGTTTATGAAAGACAGCTCATCTCTGTCGCTAGGCTATATTGCCGTGTTCGGCGGCTAATTTTAGGCTCGCAGACCGTTGAAATCAAAATCTCAAATAATTCCCAAACTCGGCCGCATTTTGAAATTTAAACCTCAGCAGTGTTATAAACTCATTAAAACCTTATTACAGACTGAAAATGAGGGTAAGTTACGTTTTGAGCTGTGGCCACGATTTTCCGATTTTGCTCGATTTTCTGTGCATTCGCTCTTAAAACTTTATTTATTTATTTTTAGAATGATACTTTGGTCACGTAAAAATTGACGTTGCAGTTTGACCTGAATGGATTCTAAATCTCTCCGATATTGTAGGATATATTTTTGTTAAAAGGAAATAGATAATTAAGGATAAACACAATTTGCTATGTCAATACACTTTATTTTAAGAAACTTGGTGAGATTATTTACAGATTACAATCAAACCTCCATGTGCGACCTTCTCGGATACGCGACATGCTGTTAGAACTACTAAAAATTAGTTTCCTACTCAAAGCACTACTGAAAACTGGACCACCAAATCTTGGCATTTATATACAGATTACAATGAAACTTCCATGTGCGACCTTCTCGGATACGCGACATGTCGTTCAAACTACTAAACTTAGTTTCCCTACTCAAAGCACTACTGAAAACTGGACCACCAAATCTTGGCATTTTATATACAGATTACAATGAAACTTCCATGTGCGACCTTCTCGGATACGCGACATGTTGTTCAAACTACTAAACTCAGGCGCGGATCTGGAATAAATACTGACCGATTTCCTAAACGAGGGCCGAAGGCGCAAGCACTATCTAAGGGGGTCTGGGGCAGGCTTCCCAAGAAATGTTTTGGTGTTTAACTCTTTAAGTCCCTTTCCTGGGTTTTCGAGTCACTTTCTTAGGTAGCATATTGCCCAGGTTTCAACTTGGAAGTGTTTTTATTATTAAAATGTATTTATTATGAAAAATCTGACCGATTTCCGTAAAACGGTGGAAACCGGTGTGGATCCGCGCCTGAAACTTAGTTTTCCTACTCAAAGCACTACTGAAAACTGGACCACCAAATCTTGGCATTTTATATACAGATTACAATGAAACTTCCATGTGCGACCTTCTCGGATACGCGACATGTTGTTCGAACTACTAAAATTAGTTTTCCTACTCAAAGCACTACTGAAACCTGGACCACCAAATCTTGGCATTTTATATACAGATTACAATGAAACTTCCATGTGCGACCTTCTCGGATACGCGACATGCTGTTCGAACTACTAAAATTAGTTTTCTACTCAAAGCACTACTGAAAAACTGGACCACCAAATCTTGACATTTTAGGTGGATACTTAAAAGCAAATACTACTCTTCTATACTCACATACTAACCTATGCTCAGGCATGAACATTATACAATGAAATAACCTTTAGTTTACAACTGGGCTAGTTTGGAGTTAGGACAAGTTGGTTTCGCTAGGCTTTTATTTGACTTAATTGAGTCGTCAAACCTTATTTCATAATGCAAGGTTGCAAAACTACTGCTTCTATGTTTACAAAAAGATTCCTTGGCTCTAAAATATATAAACTTCTACTAAACTATAAACCTTGCAATGTTGGTTGCATTGTAATCAAACTTCAATTTAAGATAAAAAATCTCATTTACATAAAAAGTATTTTTAGTTGTAGCCTTAGGGACTAATTAAGGAAGTTGGTTTTTTTTTAACTAATTACCTAAAAATACAGAGAAAGTGGCTGATCCTGATGTTATATCGTGTCGCAATTACAGTTTTATCATTGTCCGAGCTACCGATGTACACTTCTACAAAGCTGGTGATTTATTAATTTGAGCTTTTGCAAGACATTTTAGACATTAAAGTACTCAAGGTACCTACACACAAAAAAAATAAAATTAGTGGGAAAAATAATTAAGCCGGCAAAGATAAGCTGCTGGGCCAAGCAAGTCAGTTCTCTTTTAATTCTTTTAATTAATGTTCCTATGCTGCAGAGATTGATCCTTTACATTTTCCGCCAGGGACTACCTCATTGGAATTCTGCGGAAAAGGTGTTTCGTTATTCCATGGTGTGTCGTTAGTGTAATACCTGCAACAGTAATGTATAAGAGACAAAAATTAGTAAAACACATATATTCATTACAAAAGACTCAAGCTGGGGTAAGTAGCATTAAGGTTCATTTTACATGGAAGAGGGATCCTCCGGCTTTATCGTGACGGAAGAGGTTTACTTAAGTTTATATCTCACCGCTAAAACTTTCCAATTATTGGCATCATAAATAAAAAGCAGGGTGCACAGCTAAAATAGGTTTGAAACTTCTTGCCTTGATGACCTATGAAGTCTCGGTTTTCCCTCTTTGGTCCAAGTTTAGAACCAGTGTACTACTGTAATTCAGTAAGTGTCCGCCAAAAGCCCTCTAGTGACGGTCAAGACTCCATACGCAGTCCATAATTTATACTTTGTAGTGTTTTCGATCAATTCTGAGATCTAGATCTCCGCCATAATGTTTTTTATCCGATTATCTTTATATCAAACAAAAATTACTTTGGGCTGTTTGATTTGGATTCATATCTGGAATTCTCTTCCGATTACATTCAGAAAGAAAAAAGTTTGTCAGCAAACCCTCACGATCATATTGAGCCGTAGCAAATAAAAGAATATTCAATTTTTTGTGCCTCATATATCAGGAAAGAAAGAAAAGGATTAAATCATTCTGTGTTGCTGTAGGGATTCGGGGCTTTAGTGTTTTTTTTCCAAATGCAAAGCCCCGCATATGCACGGCTTGTAATTTAGACTGATAAGTACAGAAGTGTGGTCGAATAATTGTGGTGTTTAGTATCTTCGATGTTAAAAAGCGGTTAATTGATATTTTACCTCAGTCATAGTAAAAGCTAACTTCAGGTGTAGTAGTCAATAATGTGGCTTTTAAGGGTAAATACTGCTTTCTATTTGGTACTTCACAGTACCAAATGCACCCAAGTTGATAAAACTGTAATACAAAAAGACCTGGCAGACTTCTTATGGCCCTAATTGTCAGAAAACAATTACCTTCGCTTTTTTTCACCAAAGTGAAATGACACGTCATCCCCAATCAGCATGAAAGGTGCCCACTGCCTCACTTCTGAGAAACGGTTATTTCGCATCCACTTCATGGCCCGGTGAAGACATTCACTTGCACTTTTCCCTTGGACAAGGTTTTCGTAGAATCTTCCCATGAACTCCTCTGTTGCTCTGTCTTGTAAGGCCCACAATGCCACCAACACTGAGCGTGCACCCGATCCTAAGAAGGCTCGAGCGATTCCAACAACGCCTTCTGTTTTGATCTGTCCACGTGCGGTATGGCAACAACTAAGGACCACCAGTTTGGCTGACAGTCTAACTTGTGAAATGTCGGTCATTGACAGTAAGTAGTCTGCTTCATGTGGAGTCCCAATTGTCGAGTCAGGGGGGGTAAGAGCGATTTCTCCTCTTTCGGCATCACCATGAGCAGCGAAATGTACGATACTCACTGAGGATATTCTCTGAAGAACTGCCTGCCTTGTTGCTTGTTCTCCTGTTAAAAGGTGAGATTCAGGCAGTAGTCTTGCAATCATCTCTGCTTCCGCTTTCGCGCCAGGCAATGCACAGAGATACCTTGACTTTCCCTTGAAATACACATCCGTCACACTTGGCTCACCCACAACCAATGCACCAGTTTCGCTGTGAGAGTCCGCTGGACTGTCCAGAATGAGCTTGAGAGTCGTCAAAGAAGGGACAATGCGTATCCTGAAAGAATCTGACAAATAGCGGTTACTTTCATCATGTAATGCTGCAAACGGAACTTGGAAGAAGCAGTTATCAGGAACAACAATGATTTCAGATCCTTCTAGCAAGTCACTTACGGGAGCAATCAACATGTTGTAAATCTGAAAAAGTGTTGGCGGTTCAGGGTCTGTGTTTACTTCATCCTCATCTAAAAGGGGACGCAAGGATGAAAGACTATCTTCCAGATTTGATTCGTTTGTAAGTTGGTTGGCGAATGAAGAGAAGAGTGATCGGTCTTCGCATTGCTCTTCAGGTAAAACGTGAAATTTTCTTGAGAAGCTTTCGTTTCCAAACAGGTCATACACAGAGGTTTTGCAGTGCTTGCTATCATAGCTCTCACAAAGATTCGTTCTTCGGAAAGCTGCCGGTTTGCTTTGTTTCAAAACCCACAAAAATATATTGTCACGGTAGTCATAGGAGATGTATAGGCAGGTGCTGTTGCCATTTTTCTTCATTACTTCCTCGATGCCAGCAAAGGATTGTGGGTGGATGGATATTTCTTTTTCAATGGAGTACCGATTTGACATAAGTTTTGCCAGGGCTCTGGCCCGTCCGAGTTCAGCAACGTGTAAAGCTTCATAGGGTTTCCCACAAGAACAACTCAATGAACAAAACAGACGATAGGGAGACACATTTTTGTCAAAAAATGATATATTGTGGCTATCTTTGCTTCCTAGAGAAATAAGCATTTTTTCGCAAAGTTGAATGCTTGTCGAGAGACTGGATAAGGCTTCAGATATGTTTCCTGTTATTTTAAAAAAGAACAGATATTTAGAAAAAGAGAAGATACAAATTGCAATTCCATGTTTCCAGTTGCACAGCTAAGTTGAAGAGCATTCTCAAAATATTTTTGAGCCTTCGCACATTCACCAGCGAAAAAACTCAGTTCTCCTAGTGTTAGGTAGCATGACGCTTCTCGGTCTTTGTTGCCAATTTCGATATCCATGGTAAGTGTTTTATGAACATATTCTTCAGCCTTGGCATATTCTCCGACAGATCGAAACACACCTCGTAGGTTTATGTAGCATGCCGCTTCTCCTTGTCTGCTGCCAATTTCTTTGTTGGCGGTAAGTGCTTTATGAAGATATTCTTCAGCCTTGGCATATTCTTGAACACCTGCAAACATAGTTCCTAGGTTCATGTAGCATGACGCTTCTCCGTGTTTGTCGCCAGTTTCTGTGTTGATGGTAAGTGCTTTATGAAGATATTCTTCAGCCTTGGCATCTTCTCCGACAGATTGAAACACACATCCTAGGCTCATGTAGCATGACGCTTCTCCGTATTTGTGGCCAATTTCTGTGTTGATGGTAAGTGCTTTATGATGATATTCTTCAGCCTTGGCATATTCTCCGACACATCTCAACACATGTCCTAGGCTTCCGTAGCATGACGCTTCTTGTCTTTTTGGCCAGTTTCTGTGCTGATGGTAAGTGATTTATGAAGATATTCTTCAGCCTTAGCATATTCTGCGACAGCTTGAAACACATTTCCTAGGATTATGTAGCATGCCGCTTCTCCGTTTCTGTCCCCAATTTTTGTGATGATGGTAAGTGCTTTATGAAGATATTCTTCAGCCTTGGCATACTTTCCGACAGATTGAAACACAGCTCCTAGGTTCATGTAGCACAACGCTTCTCCGTGTTTGTCGCCAATTTCTGTCTTGATGGTAAGTGCTTTATGAAGATATTCTTCAGCCTTGGCATATTCTCCGACATATTGAAACACAGCTCCTAGGTTCGCGTAGCATGTCGCTTCTTCCTTTCTGTTCCCAGTTTCTGTGATGATGGTAAGTGCTTTATGAAGATATTCTTCAGCCTTGGCATATTCTCCGACAAATTGAAATACAGCTCCTAGGTTTGTGTAGCATGACGCTTCTCCGTCTTTGTCGCCAATTTCTGTCATGATGGTAAGTGCTTTATGAAGATATTCTTCAGCCTTGGCATATTCTCCGACAGAAAGAAACACAGCTCCTACGTTTGCGTAGCAAAACGCTTCTCCGTGTTTGTCGCCAATTTCTGTGTTTATGGTAAGTGCTTTATGAAGATATTCTTCAGCCTTGGCATATTCTCCGACAGATTGAAACACAGCTCCTAGGTTCGCGTAGCATGTCGCTTCTTCCTTTCTGTTCCCAGTTTCTGTGATGATGGTAAGTGCTTTATGAAGATATTCTTCAGCCTTGGAATATTCTCCGACAGATTGAAACACAGTTCCTAGGTTTCCGTAGCATGACCCTTCTCCGGCTTTGTCTTTGATTTCTTTGTAAACGCAGAGTGCAATTTTGAGGACTGCTTGTGCTTCCTGGTATTCACTTTTTTGGAGGTACAGTTTTGATAACCTTAAGGCTGTGTTACCTTCTTCTTTTTTTTCTTACGATTACGAAGTAGGACTAAAAGCTTTTTGCCAGATTCTATAGCTGGTGAAAGTTTCCTAATAGCAGCATTTCCATAAAACAGCCTCTTATACAGCGCTATACTTACTATTGTGGCAGGTTCATGTTCGTTTTTCTAAGGTTTTGTTGTTTAGTAGTATTAAGCACTCGTTCCACAGCTCGATAGCCTGGACAACTCGTTTAGTGCTTGAAAGAAAATCTGCGGCAAGCATGCCATGGTGAATAGCTTCTTGAACCTTGACCATATGGGTCTTTTCTGAAACATAAACAGGTAAAAAAAACAAGACCAGAACAATTAGCAAATAGTTCTACGGAAATAGAGTTAACCTTAAATAAAAAAAATAAGGAAGCCACTTAGAAACGTTATAATAATAAGCTTTTGGCTTAAGATGAGCTACGAAAACACATTAAGGTTTTCTTCAAAATGAAAAAGCTTTTTCTTATACGTAACGACTTTGTAAATGTGGTCTGGTCAGGTGTCATTTAAAAGTGTAAATTAAGCTGATGCTATCGTAGCTGCATGCGATTCCAAGAAACATTCTGTTTCGGTTAAATGGACTTACCCAGGAATACACAGTTACGAAAGATTTCGGTTACCCGGATCGTCAAAATAAAGCTACTTACATTTAAAAAGCAGTTAACTTGTTGAAGTAAATGATCATGAGTTCTGTTTGTTGAAATCTAAGTCTATAGAACGTGTATATGCAGTCTTGTATTTAAAAAGAAATCTTTGAGTTTTTAGTTTATTTGCAGTCTTGAAAAACGTGGTTTCTCTTGTAGAATTTTAAGTTAGGAACAACTATTTTGGAAGAATTAAAAGAACGTCTAAAAAGTTGAACGGCATGTGACAGGACATTAAAATTCCTAACATTGATAACCCTGCATCATTTCACTAAGGGCCTGTTTACATGGAGGTGAGGGACCCCAGGTAGGTGAGGTAACCCGCTTAGGTGGGGTAACCCGCCTGTCCTTATAAACTCTCAGTTTAAGTTGATCGCGTTTACATGATAGGTGGGGCGACCCGCCAAGGCGGGTAGCCCGGTCTGCCAGACCGGGTTACCCTCTCAGCCGGGGGCCAAATTTTGCCATGTAAACGTTTCAAGGTGGGGTAACCCGCCTAGTCGCGGTCGGTTTCGTGATACATCGAATTCGCGCAAAAAATCACTTTGGCGGTGGCTTTGCATCATTATTAAAGGTAACAATAGAAAGCCATAGGACTGAAGGTTGCAGCAAGAGCAGCAAGTGAGTGTTGAAGAGCATTAATCGCCAAAACACGTGGTTTGCCAGCATTTTTCTTTTGTACGTGCTTAGCGACCATTGAATAATCTTGAGACAGCGTGCCCCGGGATGGCAGGGTTGTAAGATTGCATGTAAAGGAGGGTTATTTTTTTACCCCACCTAAGCGGGTTACCTCACTCCCTGGGGTCCCCCACCTTCAGGTAAACAGGCCCTAAAATTCGATAGAATTTATATTGTAATTTTAAGTGGGAAACAATATGCTAGTAGCGGAGCTCTCGCGCGCGAAGCGCGCAGCGGAGCACCAGGGGTAAAAAAATGTGGTAAACTACCCATCCAAGAAAATTTGGTAATCACGTGACCGTAAACCAACCGACCGCCCGCCCGACCGTCCGTCCGCACCACAGGCATACCAATGTAAAATAATTCAATTAACAGGTATCGCAACCCAATGCAACTCAAGGTTTTATTTGGAAAGAAATCACATTGCCGCCCAGACTTTTAGAAGGGAAAAACAACAACAAATTCGTGTCTTTTTTCGACGTTATTTTTGATGTTTACACTCACGTGGATAACAGAGAAAGAGCTAGAGCGAGTGATTGAAAACAAAAAAGAGACGAATTTTGTAGGAAGAAAAACATGAAAATTCAAAGTAGCTGTGAGACAATGAGAAATGCTAGCGGCCAGCAAGGTGAAAATGAGCGGCAGTGAAAAATGAAAGCGCACATGAACACAGGAGACAAAATATTTGGTCAGCACATACGACAATTCCTCCATAAAAAAAATGTGTAACTAGGAAGTTTGACGTTTTAGAGCCTGTTTACATGAAGGTGGGGCACCCCAGGTAGGTAAGGTAACATGGGGCGGGTTACCCCACCTAACATGTAAACGTGATCACATAAAATGAGAGATTATATGGACAGGCGGATTACCCCACCTAAGCGGGTTACCTCACCTGCACCTATCTGGGGTACCCCACTTTCATGTAAACAGGCCCTTAGTCCTACAAAACAGCGATGTAGTTGTGCAAAACAACGGCAAAGAAAGACAAAAAGCGTGCTGCACGTGCAAATTTGTTTTTTTTTCTAATTAGAAAAAAAGTGTGCTGCACGTGCAATTTGTTTTTTTTGCTAATTAGATCTATTGATGCCATTTTCATTGCCCTCTCCGTTTACAACTATTATTAACCAGAGCTTCGCTTTTAGCCCTGGCTAAATCTATATATTAATTTAATTGATAAGTAAAGTTGGGAATCTCCTCTGACAGGCTCAGCAGAGCTTGCTGAGATCTCCTGTTCATGTATAGCTACAAATACCTAATGTACAATATTAGTTTTAATAAATAATGCGCGAATAAAATAAAAATAATAATAATATTTCATACATTCATACATATATACATTTGATTGAATACATATCCATCTTGGTTCTTCAGTGATCAATAAAGATTTCATGTTATAATGATTTAAGGCTAAGAAAACCTATCAGTACTGAACGCAAATAATTATGTATAGGAATATATTATTAGAAGAAGCGCTCAACGTCGAACGTGCTCATCGTGTCGGTAGGGTTGTTTCTGGCCCTAGAAGACGCCCTCGCACAATTGTGTGCAAGCGTCGAGGTTTTAAGCAAAAGGAGCAAATATTGAAGATGACAAGAAGAGTTAAACCTGTCGGTTTATACGTAAATGAAGATCTTGCTAAGGAGACCCTAGATAAGCGTGAAGAGCAGAGACCCAAGCTGGAGGAAGCAAAGCGGAATGGAAAAATAGCGTACTTTGTATTCTCGGTTTTCACATGACGTCATCAAAATTCAAACTAAGAAACTATCGATTCTTCTGAGATTCTGAGTTTCATGAGGTATTACAGCACCTAAACACCTTTATTTAAACAGAGGTTTGGTTCGAAAGGGTTCTTCGTTTTTCGATAGAGGACGTTTGAATTTCTAGGCTTTTGCGTGACGCGGCATTTAGCTGGCGGCCGGGACTGCTCTTCTGTGGGTTAAAAACATTACCAGTTTTGGGAGATTTTGCTATCTAAACATTCCTTCTCTCAGAATAAATATCACTTTAATAGTTTATGAGTTTTTTAAGCGATGAATTAACGCATTAGTAGGAAAACTCAAAAACAGATGTTTCTGTTGGTTTCCGGCGGCCATATTTGTGCCCCTCAAAGGGACACAAACATGGCGCCTCCATACAAAGCTTTATAAATTTGGGTAAAACGTTTTTTCTAATATCTCGCATATGAAATATCGCACAGACCTGATTCTTGGCAAGGTCTTTTGCTTATTTATCTTCTTTTATTTCCAAGATTCGGGACTTTCTGTATCGAATGGTTTGCAATTTTATTTTTGATTGCGTGACAGTGAAAACCGAGAATTGGACAAGTTGATTGTAAAGGACAGACGTGGTTTAAATCAGATAAGTTAATTAGTTACTTTACTGCTAACTTAAAATGACAGTGACACAATACTCGCTATCAGATGTACTGCCCTTTAATCATTTAGACGATTCTAGCTTTTCTCTGGCGCTATATGAACTACAGAATGGTCCTGTTCACTTTGATCCTGATAGATTTTCTAGCTTACGTTACAATCCAATTTTTTCAAACTCAAACGCTTCTTTGACACAGTCTGGCAGTTTTGATCCAGACATTAATTTTATTGCAGTTGAGACACCCTGAGACTATGTTATTGAAAATCAATTTAACGAAATGCTCAGTCGCGAAAATTATCCTGATGCCGATTTCTGTCTCCTACATCTGAATATTCGTAGTCTTCCTCATAATTTAGTAGAGCTGACTGACTATCTATCATGCTTAAACATAAAATTTTCTGTAATCGGAATTTCTGAGACCTGGCTAAACGATTCTTCTCATTCGGTCGATATTAGTGGTTTCAAATTTCTTCACAGGTATAGGCAAAATAGAACTGGAGGTGGGGTGGGTCTTTATATTTCAAACGATCTAGAGTTCAAGCTTCGAGAAGCTTTGTCCCTCCATAATGGTGATATTGTAGAATCGCTGTTCATTGAATTAATAAGACCTCGAGAAAAAAATATAATTGTTGGTATTGTTTACAGACCGCCAAATCACAGACTCGACGATTTCTTGTCTACAAACAATGATCTGCATGAGTTGTTAGGTAATATCTCTAGGGAAAATAAAATATGCTTCCTAATGGGGACTTTAATATTAATTTAATAAACTACCAAAATCATCACCTCACAGGCCAATTCCTAGATGGAATGTACTCTAATATGTTTTTTCCTTTGATTACGCGTCCCTCGAGAATTACTTCACATAGTGCTACGTTAATAGATAATATTTTTTGCGAACAACTTTTTGAACGTTCGAGAAGCGGCTTATTATTTACTGACATTTCAGATCATCTACCCGTCTTCTCAATTCATTCAGATAACGTTAACAAGTCGTTAAATCGATGTCGACAAGACCCCTTCTTTATTAGAGATAAGAATCCGAATAATATTCCTACTTTTGTTGAAAAACTAGAAGTTGTTGATTGGTCTTCGATTAAAACTTGTGATGCGTACAAACGCTTTCATGAAATGTATACAAAGATTTACAACGATTGCTTCCCTCTCAAGAAGTTTTCTTGGGAGTAATCATGGATGAAAATTTAAATTGGAAATCTGTAAATCTCACATGTCGCCAACAAAGTTTCTAAATGTACAGGAATTATTCGTAAATCCAGTTTCTATTTATCTACGAAAACCTTACGAACACTATATTTTTCTCTAGTCTATCCATACTTTTTTTACTGCAACTTAGTTTGGGCCTCCACTTACAGAACTAACCTTATTCGTCTTGAGATTTTACAGAAACGGGTGATCAGAACTATAGCTAAAACCACTTTCGATGCACATACTGATCCAATCTTTCAAAATCTTGGTATCTTAAAATTTCATGATATATACTTAATAAACTAGGCTTATTCACGTACTCCTATCAAAACCATGCTCTACCTTTGAAATTTAATTGTAAATTTACTTTACAAAGTCAAATTCATTCGTATAATACAAGAAACTCGTGTAAATTTCGTCTGCCTTTCTGTCGTACTCGAACCAAACAATTTTCCGTTTTTATCAAGGACCTGAATTTTACAACACCTTAAACACCAACATCATCAACGCTTCCTCACCTTTTTCCTTTAAAAGAGCACTTAAGGCATTTATTTGTAATAATTATTAGTATACTCCAACAGAAATCTTGCGAAAAAAGCCATTTAATATTCAACATTATTTGTAAACTTCCGTAATATTGATTAGTTTAATTTTCCACCTGATATTATTTTGTATCCGTCGCCGTAATTTTTATGCGATCTTCGAAAAAATTGTAATTGAGGAAGCCTAAATAACATAAGCTCTATAGTTTCCTTTTAGGCCTCCTCGCCATTTCTTCCTACATTTTTTTTTTTGGCATTTCTTTGTAATTATTGTAATCGTGTGGCAAATAAATAAATACAAATACAAAATTACAATTAAGTCTAAGAAAGAAGGAACTTTCTATAGATAATTTGGTTTGAAAGGAGGAGGTTATAAACTCGAAAGTGGGAAGTCCATAAATTCTTTTGAACGCACGAGGAGCTAAGCACTTCCGGAATCACTTGCCTTATTATATAGAGCATGAAGATCACATTTCATTGTCGCTTGAGGGTCCTCGGACAGAGTTTGAGATTGGGGGAACTGCAGAAGCATCTAATTCCGTCACGAGTGGCCAACGACTGACTAGCCTAGTCTTAAGATTTCGAAAAATCTGATTCAGTTCTTAGTACACATCCTAAACTAAGGTTGCCTGAAAGATTCAAGTGAGGTAACAGAGACGAAACTGTTCGTGTGTAAATTTTACAAAATCGTTTTTTAAGGGGAAATGTAACATAAACACCAGATCCCAGTTGTTGCTATCTATTGGGTAAATCACTATCCAGCGGAGAAAAACAGTCGCATTATCCCTGTGGATAGAGATTTATGCAGTTGATAGCGCTATCCACCTTTTGAACAACCGGGCCAGCTCTTTCTTCATGTACCAACACGTAACACTTAGCCTAATTCCGAAGGAGCTAAAATCAAATGTTCCTTTATTCCACCGTCAGTAAATACCTCTTATTAGCCGATAACCTGAGATCAGGCCCAATTTGAGCGGTTCTCATACATTCTCTCTAACGGCTACCGCTGAAATTGGGCCTGATACAAACTATTACAAGTTTGTGCTCGTTACGGCCAGATTTTGGCCGTAACGCTGATTGGCTATTAGAACAATCCCACAAGATCTGATTGGCTGTCGGAAACGCCGGAAGTTGAAAGCGCTTAGTCCTCGCTTGGTTGTTTTCGTGAATGATCCGTCGTCGGTGGAGAGAAGGATGATTTTGCTGTCTTTTTTATTGTTTTATGGTCTTGTGGTAGGAAAATGTGTCTTAATATGTGCCATGGAAATTCAGAAAATTCATGTGGTTGTTCATATCTTCTCAGGATTTGCTTTATTTACGGAAAGTGAGTGTATCGCGGAGTTGAATCCCTCTGCAAGTTGTTGCCCGCTAACAAGGTGCATTTTGATTTACTAACAAAAGGGTGCAAATCAAAATACTGTCCATCTTAAAACTGGTTTCATTTGAAAGTTTAGCCGGGAATGACTTCTCTGAACGGGGTACGCAAGCGGAGGCTCACTGCGAAAGAAACCTCAATCGCCAACTGTGAAGTATTAGACGAAAAATATCGCATCGCTGTTCAAGGAATTTTCAGTGTTCATAGACTGGTTGTTTGACTACCCTTTTTGTTAAAAGTAAACCAAGAAAACTGGTGTCCTCGCTCGTTGGCTGTTTGCTTTTGTTTTTAAAGATTTATGTACTGAAAATCGGAGGAAATTGCCGAGGAAAATATCGAGACAACGGAAAAATAGAGATTTCAGTATTTTAAATGCCAGAGCGCCTAGCCAAAATAATTAAACTAGTAGAACATCGTGTCGCCGTCATTTCGAAAACTTTTTACCTTCTACGCCAAGAGAAGTAACCTTTGAGATCTCCCTTAATCTCGCAAGAAGTTAAATGTGATTGTGCTGGCTGTTTTATTTTTAGCTGAAAAAATTAACAGATAAAGCTGTTTTTTAAGTCAGCCAGTCTGCATTTTTCCCACGCTTGAAAAATTTGCATACTAGAAAAACAAGCAACGGAAGTAATTCTGATTGGCTGATTCGGCAAATGTCAATCAATCAAAAAAGTGGGCGGCAGACATTTCGTTAAAGGTTTGTATCAGGGAAGTATCAGGCTCTCTTTTCGTTTCGCCTTGCCCGCCGGAATGTAATTTTCAAAGCGAAACGAAAATACCGAGTTTTTTTTAATCGATTTATGGCCCAAGCGCGAAAAAATCGATGGAAAAAAACGAGGATCCGTAATTTACAGTACGGACCGAAAAAACGAGGCTAATAAGATGTTTATTATATGGCTTCTTCCTGTTTGGGGGACCGGAAACAAGTGCAGGACGCACGATTTGACAGTCATTTGACAGGCGTCAAAAAAGAAAGTTTTTATTGGCGCACGAAAACAATAGCACATAACAAAGGCTTTCCGAGAAAGTAAAAACAAATTCGCCATGTTGAAAAAGTTTATTCGGTCAAAACTAAGAGCACTGTAAGTTTTAGCTCTTTAATGTAACGCTGGAGTCAGTTTTGGAAACCGGACACTATGTCTGTCTAGAAGTCGTTTCCGTCTTTCCTCCGTTTCTCCTTGTAAAAAAACACTGCAAAAGGCAAAGAAGCTTTTCAAGGTAAGTTTGTTGTCATTGTCGAAGGATTCGCTCGTTAATTGTTTTTGGGAAAACCTCTCTTTCTGCCACTTCATTCTTGTCTTCAATTGGACGTGATCTGCGTTAAAATTTTCAAACACTGACTAAAATTCTCTTCCTCGGTGAGGTTACGATTCAGTTTCTACATCAGCTTCGTTCTCATTAAAACAAAGAGCTAGGTTAAAATTTGGAAAGGCAAAGTCAACATCCCAGTCCTCATTGTTTACAGACATATTTCAAAGTTTATTCGGTCAAAACTAAGAGCACTGTATTTACACGTTAATGTGTGTGTCTTTTGAACACTGGACATTGTGTCTGGCTTGAACTCGCTTCTATCTTTCTTTCGTTGGTCCTTGAAAAAACACTGCAAAGGACAAAGAAGCTTATGATCGGGTGCAGGTATGTTTGTTATCTTATTTCAGGGACCGCGCAGCAAGTTTTCGAGTGGGGGGGCTAAAGAAGAATGCGTGAAGGAAAATTTTGGGGCGGGGGGGGCCGGGGGGGCATGCTTGTGGATTTCTATTCAATTTCTCTAAAGTGACGGAGAATGCGAATAACGATAAAGCTATTGATTTTTTTCCACATCTTCAGTGATCTTGCTATCGGGTCTGAAAATTCACCATCACTAAATTGAAATATCATAGATTGTTATGTTATACTACTGTTATCAACCTTTAATTACTACAAATAAGCCAGAAATCCAACGATTTTGCTTGAGCTGCCTTGAACTCAAGGCTGTATAATTACTGAGCAATTATTGCACGAGGCTGAGTATCAGATCAAGGGGGTTATCCGCCAAAACTGAAGGCTTGAGCCCGGTAGATAACACCCTCTGAGATTTGTATATCTTCGTATCATACGAAAGCCGAGTTCAATAATTGTTTAATTATTCATTCAAAATATTTACACGGCAAAACAAAACGGTAACTGAAAATAATTTAGTGAATGATATTAAAGTTACTGTACATCATTTACTCGAAAAGTGCCAAAATTGCGCTTTCTGTTTGTGTTGCGGTCGGTAAATTCGTTTGCTATGTCAATGGTGGAAAGCCTGTCCGTTCTTTCTTTGTGTATGTTTAAAACTGTCAGGTTACTAAATCGTTCCAGGTTCATTCTTGAACGGAGCCATGTTTTTAGCCTCCGGGCAGTCGAAAAGGATCTTTCACCGGCTGCACTGGTTGCTGGATTTACGACAATCAGCTTACATAACGTGATAACTTCTTTTATCATTTCCCGTTCTGGGTTGGGTAGCTCTTTAATTTTTACTATGATGTCGTCAAAACAAAAATAATCACCATCCTTCAGCAGCACTTGTAAAATTTCCATCTGGGCGGTTAACACTGAAATATTAACATCATCGTTGTACAGTTTTTCCAGGAAAAAG